ACAGGCTCAGCCTGCCTTGCCTGAGATCACCACCTGAGCTCCCAACAGCCCCTCCCGTGAGAGGGGCTCAGCCTGCCCTGCCTGAGATCACCACCGGGGCTCCCAACAGCCCCTCCCCTGCAGCCCCCCGTGTCTGTGGGTCTCGTCACTCTTCTCCCCGGTGGGTGAGGACAGCCAGAAGGCTCCTGTTGAGGTAGCGCCTGTCTCACCCACAGACACAGATGTTCCCGCTGTTTGCTCTCAAACCCCCAGTGCTGCCGTGTGGAACCCCTTGCTGTCTTTCCCCCTTCGCCACCTTCCCCCGGCTCGGCACTGGGGGCAGGGCCACCTCAGAGGGTGGGGCAGCTTGAGTCACAGAGTTGCCGTTGGCTGACAAGTGGCCGAGCTGTGGTTTCCAAGTCGTGGCTGGTGGTCACCTTGTTTTCTCTTTCAGCTTTGCGTCCAGAAGTTGAGAATATTAATAGAAGATTCCGATCAGAACTGTAAGTTGTTCCCCGCTGCTTCCAGGTTCTTGAGGTTTTATGTTCTCAGTCTTTGCGAGATTGTGAACTCTTCCAAGTGTGAGAGGAGAGCTGAGGCAGATGTTGCTGTCACCGTTGCTCCCCATGTCCGTGGTTACCCGGGGCTCACTTTGGCCTCAGATGTGTGTTAGGGAAACGTCTTTGTCAGCACGGGGCAGTCCTCCCCTTGTGCACCAGGCCCCTTGTTGGCACACTGAGGGCACCTTCCTGGTGGGGACTCGGTGGGAAGGCCCTGTCCCTTTCCTGTGAGGGGTGGGGCCTGGGGTGCAGACGGCGCAACCCCTTCTGCAGGCGCTCATTCCGAGGGCGATGCTGCAGGAAAGGCTCAATGGAGACCCAGGGAGGACCCTTGAATTTAGTCATCCTGGTAGGTGAATACAGGAATCTGGTGAATACAGGAAGGTAGACACCTGGCTGCGACGCTCTGTGCTATGGTTCGACCGATCGCACGCAGCGTCCCGGGTGGTTCCCGCTGTCCGCTCTGTTGGCATCTTTTCTCTTCACACGTGTTCTGTGGGTGGATTCTGGCTCAGTAAACCCGCCTGGTTCCCAGATGAACATGGCAAGGATGTTGAAGGCTCGGGACACGTGTCTGCTCGTTGCTGATCCAGGACTCTGTGTGGAGCAGGGCCAGCCAGCTGTTCCCGTGAAGGGCCGGGCAGTGTCTGTGTGGAGCAGGGCCGGCCAGCTGTTCCCGTGAAGGGCCGGGCAGTGTCTGTGTGGAGCAGGGCTGGGCAGCTGTTTTCTGAAGGACCAAGTGGTGAATGTCTTGGGCTTTGCAGGCCGGAAAGTGTCTGTCACAGCTGTCAGGTCTGTTTCCACTGTCAGCAGCCAAGGATGACATTTAATCATGGGTGTGGTTGTGTGGCAGTAAAGCTGCGTACGCACTCCTCATACACCGACACATTAGGTTCCGAAGACCAGTTTGTTATGTGAAAATTGACTTTACGCAGAGGTTACGTAACTGCGAGACCGCCAAGAACCACGATCCAGCCAGGCTGACACGTAACTAACCGTCGCAGCCAACGTCACTCCTCCCGTCGCACCTCAGCGTTCGTTAACGTGCAGAATGGTCGGATAGTAGATTTTTTACGATTGTCGTAAATGTGAAACGTTGGGTAATGAGATGGTTGATAAGTGAGGAGTGGGAATATTTTCAAAACCCAGTGGTGGGCTGGATGCGGCCTGAGGGCCAGAGTTTGCTGACCCCCGTCCTATAACCGGAGAGGTTATGCGGGACAGTCAGCCAAGAGCGCATGTGGCAAGAAAACTTTATTTACAAAACTGGGCAGCTGGTTGGATTTGCCACCCCTGGGTTTGATGATTATGCCCGTGACTCAGTGTCTCACCCGCGGCTGCCCTCCATCCTCCGTGAGCTGTTTGGGTTGGCCCGGGGTGAACACGAGGTACCTGGCCTGGGAAGGTCCCCTCGCTGGCCCACGGGTGCTGATGGGGTGCGTGTCTCCCCCACCGGCATACCCCCGCGCAAACCCGGCAGGGAGGTGTGTGTTAGTGCTCTCTGTGGGCAGCAGCTCTGATGGCAGGGTGGAGGTGAGGGCTGAGGCTCCAGGAGGCCCGGGCAGGAGGTACCCCAGCTGCCCCACCTGAGGCCTGCTTCTCCAGATGCATCTTCCAGAACGCCAGGGAGGGCCATGGGTGTGGGATGAGTGCCCTCTACCGGCCCCCCTCAAGCTGGGGTTGTGCTAAGGGCCACGCACACCTGCACGGATCCTCCTCCGAGCGCATCCAGGCGGTCTGTGCTGGCTGGAGGTCCTGGATGTTCAGCCTCCCTAGGGTAGTGTCAAGATGTGTGCCAAGCAGTCTCACAGCACCTTGCATCTCCCCGACAGTGAAGTACCTGGGCCTGCTGGCCATGTCCAAGATCCTGAAGACCCACCCCAAGTCTGTCCAGTCCCACAAGGACCTCATCCTGCAGTGCTTGGATGACAAGGACGAGTCTATCCGACTGCGGGCCCTCGACCTGCTCTACGGCATGGTGCGTGTCATGCATGCCCCCACCCCCCCGACCTGCTCTACTGCATGGTGCGTGTCATGTGTGCCCCCACCCCCGCGACCTGCTCTACGGCATGGTGCGTGTCATGTGTGCCCCCGCCCCCTTGACCTGCTCTACGGCATGGTGCGTGTCGTGTGCCCCCGCCCCCTTGACCTGCTCTATGGCGTGGTGTGTCCCCAACCCCCAGACCTGCTGTACGGCATGGTGAGTGTCATGTGTGCCCCCACCCCCGCGACCTGCTCTATGGCATGGTGCATACCTTCACCCCTGTGGGGATCTGCCCCCCGCCCCCTGCCCTGTGCAGGCTGTTATGTGAGGGGAGGACGTGAGCTCTCGGTGTCCCCAGTGCTGCTTTTGGAAAGCACACCCAAGTACAGCCTGTCTGAGAGCCCGCGACGTGCGCAGACACGAGAAGGGTGTGAAGTATTCGGCATCCGCTCACTCTCACACTCACGCCGTGTCTGCCAGTGGCGGCGAGCGTGTGGGTAGTGAGCGTGGCAGGCTGGGTTTGATCACTGAGGGACCCCCTACGTGGGCTCATGTGGGTTTGATGCTGAGCTGGGCGGGCCTGGGTCTGTGGCCCAGCACGCTGGGGACCAGAGGGAGGCGGCTGACATGCCCTTTTCCCTGCTGGACGCCACATTCTTACCTTGAACGTCACAGGAATGTGTGGCTTCCCCAGGCAGATTTGTGTCTTATGAATCCGTCTCGGCAAATTGGCACATCTGAGTTTTATGATGTGCCGGAGGTGTTGTCCTGTTTCACCTGCGTCGGGCTCACAGGGAGTCTGGGTTGAGTCTGCCTCAGTGCCCCCGGTTGGATGGCAGTGCTCTCCCACCAGTAGGTGGGACGTTTGCGGCTTCACCCACTCGTGGCCCCACAGGTGTCCAAGAAGAACCTGATGGAGATCGTGAAGAAGCTGATGACCCACGTGGACAAGGCGGAGGGCACCACCTACCGGGACGAGCTCCTCACGAAAATCATCGACATCTGCAGCCAGTCCAACTATCAGTACATCACCAACTTCGAATGGTGCGCTACACCTCACACACCGTAGAGCCCACCTGTCAGCACATCACC